TTCTCTTGCTGTGTGGCATGTGGCATCATCCTGTTGAAACGACATTTCTTCTAGGTCCATATCGTTCTTTTGTATAGCGATCCATTCTTAACCCAAATGTCAAACATTAGGGTTGCCAACTGAAATATAAAAAAAATGGTGGGAAATTTAAATCCGGTGTACCCTATACTCTTGACGCGAAAATTATTTTCATTCTGTTCTCAGATTATTCTGTTCGGTAGTACAGTATTTTAGCCTTGACGTGAAAGTTTCTTTTTAATAGGTATTTTGAATTTCGTGAGGAAATTTGTGACGGAATATATGTATAATTTGTTTCTTTTTCTAAGGTACAGTAATCAAGATGGGACCCTTTTTTTGTATAATATTACTTAACACAGCGGTGGTTCCCGGGAGCTAAAACCTGTCCCCACCACTGCCCGTCGTTACGATGGAGTAACAGAGCCAAGCGTCTGATTGTAAGCTTTGTCAAAAGAACGGTTGGAAGGGGAAGCAGGCGTGTGAGGAGTTCTTACGCTGCTCCTAACCTTAAGAGGACGGGAAGCCTATGTATGTGTAAGTTATAATCTGTTTTCACTTTAAAATATCATACGTAAGGGTTTTTTCGGTCGTCGAAATTAAATTTTATTTGGGAATTAAGTTTCGACAGGTCAATATTGTTAACATATGTAGCTAAAAAAGCGTCGCTCTTTTTTTGTAGTCTTTACATATGTATTATTCTTTTACATTACTTTCGTAATTAATACCATAAAATTCCAATTTTTAAATGCTCGAAACTTAAATATAATTTAAATAATATATTAAATAAAATTTAATAAAATAAAATATAATCGTAAATCGAATATAATAAAAAATTTTAAATACATTTTAATATTCGTAATTACAAGTTTAAGTAGATTTTCATTATTTATTAATGATTATTTTGTCTTATGAATATTAATAGAAATATCATCTTTTTAATTTATTACCTTAATAAATATAAATATAAGTAATAAAAACATCAGAATAATATATTTTACAGTATCTATATATTCTTTGGCTCTTAAAATTATTACCATCTTAAATATATCAACTACTACAAATTGGAGATATTTGTCGAAGTTCAACATTTACATGTCGTGAATGTGATATGATTCTGTGTGTTGTATCTTGCTCCGAAATACCCAGTCAGCCAAACCTGCAGAGCCAAATTTTTTTCAATGCCAGTTTTTTAGACAACTTTTGTCATTTATTACTGGCAATTTGCTCGAAACTTGTACCCAACTGGTTATCAGGGTATATCACACACAACGACATTATTGAATATAAGCAAGAATACAGTAAAAGGACGTTTTTTTATACAAAAATTCCTTTTTATGTATTAGTTATCATTTTAAACCTGCCTGTTCTCTAGAGGTGAAGAAACTAAAAACAAGAGGCATATGAGACTGGCTAGATGAAAGACAAAGAAATTACAATGGTATGACAGTAGTTTTTAATATTGTTTTTCATGGTCTTTATTGTATTGGAAGATTAGGATATTTTCATTGCATTTTGAGTACTTTCAAATGTGTCAAGTCTGTATACAAGCAAAGCAGCTTCGTTATTCGACTACAATTTTTGTAAAGCATAATAACAGTTTCTGTTTAACCGTATTATAGATAATGCCTTTCACGTTCATAAGTTGCAGATATCATACCCGTATGAAATCAAGTCAATAATTTTGTTTCACGGAAATTTTTAAACGTGAATCAACATTAATGATGTATCGTAAATTTTTATTTCATAACAAGAAAACCTTAATTTTTGGTTCAGTATTGATTAACACTGTAGCTTACATTAATGATTACCGGAAAAATGAAAAGATTATATCATTATTTTAACACTAGAACTACCAATGTTGAATGTATGCTAAACAAAATGGTGTGGTATTAAAATGCACAATAAATTAAAAGTAAACGTAAATTCCAACAAAAGCACCTTTATGATTTCAGTAATTGTTGAATAAGAATTTTTAAATGCATCATTTTTGCGGGTTTGGTTGTTCTAGTGTTATAAACTCTCTGTTCACATATAGTACATTGCCGAAAGCATAGAAGTAACACATAAAAATAACATGGAATGATACTTCAAATAATGAATTTTTTAATGAACTTTGTTGTTTGAAAAGTAATTTAATGTTATGTTAAAACATACGTTGCAATATTTAAGAAATAGTAAGGGTTCAATATGGTGGTATTTTACTATTAGCTGAACTATAAATCAATGTTCACGCATGAGCGTGTTGCCATAAGGTCTCTTCCTGCTTGACATTTGATTACCTTAAGTTCAATATGGTGGTATTTTACTATTAGCTGAACTATAAATCAATCAATGTTATAATCAATGTTCACGCATGAGCGTGTTGCCATAAGGTCTCTTCCTGCTTGACATTTGATTACCTTTAACACGCGCCAGTGCACAAAATACTTCCACCCTAGTGAGCAACTTCCGTATAAAAACAGAACATGTAATTTCGTTACAGCATTTTCATACAATCAAAAGCATCTATTCGCAAGGTTAATTAATATTCTTCGCTGAAATAATTACCGTCAAACCTGCTAATTACATCGTAGGATGAGTGCATAAATTTCACCTACCCAAATTAAAATTAGTTTCAATTGACGGGTAATTGATATTTTCTATGTAATCTGTCTGAAATAATAAAGAAATGCTTTATGTTGCATGGCAGGACAGAACTGTTAAAATTTCAGGATTTTTAATCACGATTGAAACAAAACAAAGCATGCAAAAATCAGAAATCATGAAAACATGCACATAATATTAACTACCTGAAAAATATTGATCAGTTCATATATTTATGAACTTTTAAGGCTGTAGCTATATGTGTGTTTGTTATTTATAACCATATGAATACTTCGGAGGCTTTTCACCAAACTTTTTTAAGAGAATTATGTTAAAAAAATTACAATTTTAATATATTAATATTATTGCATATTTTTTCCGACGATCGGATTTACATGCTGGTCAAACAAAATACAGTTCTTGTAGCTTTGCAAATTTCGTGTCCCCATCTGTAGCTATTATTACACTGAAGGGTAGGCGTTATTGAGTGTATGCTGGTCAATACAGAACAAAATTATTTCCGTTAACTAAAACGTTGGAACTAATTGAATTGCTTAAACATGTCATTAATTGGATACTCCCAGTAATTATTCACGCAATCATAGAATTTTTGAACTTGTCTTCTCCCAATATGACGTAAAATTGTCACAGTTCAATAAATTTTTAAACTATGAAGATGTCACTGAAATACATTTCATTTGCTTGACGTCGCTCATATAACGTTGCAACCTAGAATTTTAAATTATCAACAGAATTTATCACATTCTTCACCGATACTCCGTGCTAGGCGTAATTAGATACAGTTACTCTATTTCTCATAAAAAATAGAACTTATTCGAGTACATGCGATAAGCAATGACACTTTGAAGTAAATTAAAAACGAAATTTTAAATGTTTGTCATTCACGTAAATATCTTAATCTTTCAGGTTACGCAATTTTCAACGAAAACGCCAACGTTAAATTTTCTTTCAAAACTCTAGTTTTAATACTTGCGCTTTATATAAATATATGTATATGTTAGAAAAAAAAGAATAATTTGTAGAATTCTATTTCTCGTGTTTCACAAGCTGTTGGATTATTTGAAAAGTCAATACCTTGAGTTTTTGTTAATATAGCGTGCTGGGTCAGAAGAAAATCACGTCTAAGCCGCGTATAGATACGTAAGTATACACATGTGGAACCTGCGTGTTGAAAGTAGCGATGTGATGGCGCCAAGGGGGTTTACCATGAAGTTTACGCCTATTCCGAGGGGTAAAGAGAGAGATGACTGCACGCACCCTACGCTAGCCACCTGACGCACCCTGCTCGTGGGAACTGAACAACTGTAGGAATCTTCTACTTTCACGGTTCTATGTGCACACATATCTACACAATGTATTTATAGAGTACTGTTTAAGGTCCTTAAAGCCGTATGAAGTTCTGCAGGAATGTGTGAACTTGTCGAGTTTCACATATCGAGTCTGATAAGTATGTACTCAAGGCACTACAGTAGAGCCTCCGGTATCTGAACTAATAAAGAGACATAAATGTGCAGATAAAGGAATTTTTGGATAACAGAACAATCATTTTTGTGATACAAAACGTTCTTTATTTAAACAGAGACTATGAAAATTGACAATTTAAATATTTATCGATTCCATATATTATAGCTGCTAAATTAACCTAATTTTAAACGCGTAAGCAAACACAACGGTTTTATAATAGGAGTAGGGATGAATCGGTACAAGTAAATACGACTATATTACTCGATACTTTTGTTGCGATACCGAGTACTTTTGGTATCGATACGTACGGTTGCGATACCAAGTAGGTATTGAAAAAAAAGTACTTGTAATCAAATGGAGTAAGTATCGACCCATCAATATTTGATATTGTAATTACTTTTAACACAAGAGAATGTTGTTTATATTAATAATTAAGCAATGTGTATTTAAATATTTTCAATATTAAAATAATATAGGTATATGTATGTGATTAGGCTTCTGAAAATGGTATTTTCAAATATAGAACAAGTTTTCCTGCATTGTTTCCTGCAGAATCTTCATCTATCTAATGTGCATGCTACCTCCTCAATGAAATATTTTACTACTTAAATTTAGCACATTTAATTCATTTGCGAAGTCAAAGATTGCGTTTTCCGTTTCAGTTTCTACTAAATATTTTATCATTAATAAATGAATTATTTATGTTACTGATGAATCTTTATTTATTCCTCTGTTTTTAGAAAAATAAGGGGCTTTTCCATTTTTCTAAGTACAACATCATTGTCTTGTTATATACTCTATATTTTACTGGGTTCATTTTTGCAATATACTTAGAAAGATGGATTGGTTTGATTTCTCTAGATATTTTTGGGACCACCTTGCGTCGCAGATCTTATGCCCCAAGTTAAATATTTTCAGAATATTTCTAAAACTACGTATGCTTGTACAAATAATATCTGATGATTAATACCTGCACACGTATTTATTTATTATGTACATCATATATTACGTATATTGTATATAGTTTATACATATCTGTTATATTAAATATTTAAATAAATATATAGTGGTGTATTTTCTTTTCTCTCAAGGTATAAATTACTTTTGTGTTGGGTATCAAGGTTAGGAAAATATAATTCGATTCAAGTAGGTATCGATACTTTTGTTTCGATACAAGTGGGTATCGATATTTTTGTTTCGATACCGAGTAAGTATCGATACCTTCATACAATATCAGCAATGAGTAAAAGTATCGATATCTTGACGGTATCGATTCAACCCTAAATAGAAGTCGATGGAACTTCCGGTTCACCGTGGGTCTCGTCGGACAAGTACGCGCGCTGTGCGCATACACGTGCATCTACTCTCGTGAAGTTACACCGCACACAAAGGAATATGGTGCGTGACAGTATTCACCGTCTCGGCCGAGAAAACGAGAGATGTTTAATGAGCGATTATGTGGCGTGAAAGTATGTGGGAAGTCCGTTGCGATTCGAAGTAGCGGCCGCCTGCTTAAAAACAGCGTTGTCCTCGGCGGCATATATTGGGTTGGCAAGAAAGTAATTTCGGTTTTGTAGTGTGAAATAAAACTCATTTTTTTTATACAAAGAATAAACTTTAATCAATTATATATTTTCCATTTTGTTCAATGACCTTTTGCCATCTTTCTTGCAGCTTCATGATTCCGCGCTCATAGAATTTCTGGTCCTTATCAGCAAAAAACTGAACCAAGTGCGACTTACGGTCATCATCATTTGTAAAAGTTTTACCATTCAAAGAGTTTTGCAAACTTCGAAATAAATGGTAATCAGATGGTGCCATATCAGGGCTGTATGGGGGATGCGACATCACTTCCCAACCAAGCTCCAATAATTTCCCACGAGTTACTAAAGATGTGTGAGGCCTTGCATTATCATGGTGGAACACAATTCCTTTGCGATTTGCCAATTCTGGCCGTTTTTCTTTTATTGCTTCATCCAGTTTCAATAGTTGTTGACAGTAAACATCTGAATTGATCGTCTGGTTTCTTGGAAGCAACTCAAAATACACAACACCTTTGTAGTCCCACCAAATTGACAACATGACCTTTTTTTGATGCAATTCAGCTTTAGATGTGGATTGTGCTGGTTCATCACGCTTGGACCATGATCGTTTTCGAATAATGTTACTGTACATGACCCATTTTTCATTACCAGTGATGATACGTTTCAAGAAAGGATCGGCTTCATTGCGCTTGAGATGCATATCGCAAATATTGATTCGTTGTGTTAAGTGAATCTCTTTCAATATATGCAGAACCCAAATATCGAGCTTCTTAGCGACTCCAAGACATTTTAAGTGATTTTCAATTGTTGTATGCGATACATTTAACCTCTCTGCAATCTCTCGAACAGTTATGTGACGATCCTCTTCAATTATGGCTTTGATTTGGTCATCATCAACTTCAGTAGGTCGACCAGAACGTTGGTCATCTTTGAGTGAAAAATCTCCAGAACGGAATTTTTTAAACCAATTCTGACACGTGCGATCTGTTATGCAATCAACACCATAAACTTCACATATCTCTTTGTGGGCCTCAGCAGCTTTCTTTCCTTTACGAAAATAAAAGAGTAAAGTATGCCGAAAATGTTCGTTTTTGCACTCCATGTTAAAATTGACCCTGAACTAACAGCTACAAACAAAAATTTGCACAACTTGCTTCTTAAGCAACCTAAATGTGACTGATATCAAATGTCAAAAGGAAAAAACCATAACGCAGACAAGAGTCCTTCAAAACACTTACAACGCTATCTATGTGTCACAACCGAAATTACTTTCTTGCCAACCCAATACTATTACGCCTGGGGTAGTGTTATGGTGGGGCGTCATAACTCATAAGTAAATAGCATACGGATGTTTACGCAACTGTATACGTTTACACGGATAATACGACGCAATAAATGTAGACGACACGTAATTAACCCTCCGTCGAGCGCAACTGGCCTTTAAGCACAGCGACAGCAGGTAATAACTACCGCAGGAATCGTTAAGTGTTGCTAGTATTTTGGGTTATTCTTAGCCCAATGTTGTAATATCATTAATATTGTCAATAGAATATAAAGAGCTCATGAAAAAAACGACCACAGTCCATTCTAAATTGAAACTGAGATTTTAGCATCATGTGTTAAATCTTAAGATAACCTATAAAAATGTAGTAAAATAAAAGGAAAAAAAACGGGACTAATCCAAGGATTACAGAATTCAGGGTTCGGGGAAGTACAATCAATGTCACAATTCTCCAATGGAAAAAGGATCAAAGTCTAACAAGTTGTTCTTTTATTTCGTGTGTTTTATCTCACTTCGAGTGTTTATAATAGTACTTTTCGAGTGTAATTCAGCTTAATTTGAGTGTATAAATGGGAATTTCAAAACCAAACAGGATAAGAATGTATTTAATGTTCATATTTATTAAAAGAATACAAAATTAATAAATAGTGCTTTTTAATGATTTTTCTATACACAAAATAAGAACATTTTTTTGGACGGAGTTATCATTGTCAATTACGAGTTCCCTTGTATCTTTCTCGAAAATTAATGGACTTGTTTCAAAATTATTTTTCTGGATAACGAAATTGCGGATACTAAACAATTAGAGAATGTTAGTAATGTATGAAACAAATCAGTAATTGTTTCAGTCCAGTACAATTTTTTATAAATTTGTGTGAACATTAGATGTATTCACCGTGATCCACATAGCTTTAAATTTCAAAATTATGTTGAAAAAAAATTTATTTCAAATGTTTTACAGAAATGAGGTTTACTGGTAAATGACTATTGATGCCCTCTATTGCCAGACTTGATTTCTGATTTAACTGTCACTTTCAGATAATAAGGAAAAATATTTTTGTTTTAAGTTCAATCAGTCTAGCAAATAATATTATACCGAATAACAATCACTGATTCTTATGAAATTTTGTTACAAAGTGGTTCTCATCAAAATATTTGACACGTATTTTTTTGTATCTGCTATCATCCATATTGAAGGAGTGAAAACAGACCTCAAATTTACGGGTGTGAAACAAGCCTGGTTGAATATTTCGGAAACTATTGGAGATACAGAAACGATTTAAATGGCAATATTGTGTGTTTTGTTATAAGGTATTCAGATATATTATTAGATTTCAGAAAAATTCATTTCTTCAAATAATACATTAAAAAATTCTACTTTTTTGTTAATTTTTCGGGTCAACAACTGAATTCTGTTGTGTGTATGTATATATCACCCTTTTTTAAACATCTACAATGATAGTCCCTTTCATTAAAAATTCAGTAACTATAATTATTCAAGCTTATTCAAGGGCATGAAAAAAACTGTGGTCCCATTTTACACTAAACCTACGACCGGTCAAATGACCGGTTTTGCCGTTCTAATTCCTATCTTTCCGAAGGGTTCGGTAGTTTTAGTGTTAAAAAATGAAGGTGACCTTGATATCTCTAAAAAAACATGACATAAAAACAAACATTTTGTTGCATCGTGTGAGCTCCATTGAACCATTCAACTGTGTCCTTAAGACATTGACGTATCTTTAAAAACAACAAAGATATTTGAGGTGCAAACGTTAGGTAATTCACCCTGTATACAGGGTGAACCACGAATCGTGATCAGAAGGGATTACTCTGTTATTAGCTGTCCGATCGAAAATGTTTTTATCAGGTATACCATGGTTTCAAGAGAGCTTTAACGTGATGATAGCAAATTTTTTGTCAACTCTCTTTTTTAATGATTTTTCGAGGTCACCTTCAATTTTTTGCAAATATACCTATCATTTTTTTGCGCCTAACATATGTTATGTTATGATACTTACCGAATTCGTCTTGAAATCCTCTAACAGATAGGCGTAAAAAAATGATAGGTGTATTTGCAAAAAATTGAAGGCGACCTTGAAAAATCATAAAAGAAAAGAGTGTGGACTCTTGAAACCATGCTATAACTGATAACAAAATTTTCGATCGGACTGATATTAACAGAGTAATCTCTACTGATCACGATTCATGGTTCACCCTGTATAATCTCTCGTGAGGTGAAATAGCTTTCCTCATACCCGTACCTTTTCTTTTTATTAACGGAGTAATTAAATACACAAACTTTATACAAGTTTCTTCGTTCATCCTTAAATAGTTGTTCCAATCTTTAAGTGCAAACCGCAATTCATTTAATAAGTTTACATGTTCTTTAAACTTTTCTTTTCTTCAATCACTTGTCAGGAACCTGTGCAGACATCGGACGGCCTGCGCAGGCCCCATTGTTCAGGCAAAACTGTGTAGCGGCCTTAAGATTATTGTCATGCGAAAACAATCGTCACCTCTGTATTATAGAAGAATATCGCACTGTCATACAGGAGAACGTGCCGTGTCGCATGAGCGCCGCGTGCACGCGCGAATCTTGCGCACACCCTCCTACAGAAGTTGTGGAGCTGCTATTTCCAATTGAAAGATAGTGCAATTATGTAAATTGAAAGCTATCTATTCAAAGTTCGTAGGGATACTTACCCTACCTTTTTTTTAGGAATAAAAAGAATATTCATTCGTAACTAAAATAGCACAATTTGATTATTTATCAGCAACGAATAAACTATTAATACGCTAAATAAATGTTACATTAATGTTAATTAATGGTATTATATTCAGTTATTTTTTTACGAAAAACAAAAAACGAGGATTTAACATATAAATATTAAATATAATACATTGGTGAACGTTGACGAGAAATCTCGTTTTCATAGGAGATGCGTTGATGGCCGTAAACGAGAAATCTCACTTTCAGACATGCACATCATTTATTCATTATTTCCTAGATTACAGTATTTTTCTTCTATTCGAATATCATTGGCTCTGTTAGCAAGGATATGTTCAGTTTGGTATCTGAAATTTACTTCAAACTACTTAAGCGATACGGTATAAGTTTGTATGAATCCACTTATCGAGACATTACTGTACGTCTTAGAGGTACGTAACTTTAATTGCGTATATTTGAAAAATTATCAACTGTATACACCTAATATTGTATATGTAACATTAATAACCTATCATCTTACAAAACTCCGTTAATATCGAAGTCGGACATTTCGGATCCATCCCTTCTTAGGGAATGACACTCGTACAAGCAACTGGCTCGCAAGCGTAAAAAATTCCGCAATACTTTCAAGACACAGCGTTCATTGGTGTGCGGGCCGCGAACCAAACGCAATTTTCAATGGTACGGGTCGTTCATAAAAAGTACGCTTGCTCGAATGACAGTCAGTGACGTTCATCGGCGCTTCTACAGCACGCCGAGATGGGGACGCGACGCCACGGGTCGCGACAGTATACATCAGGGGGCACGTTCGAGCGCGAAATCTGTGGCGCGCAACGAATTCGAAATCGTCGGCCGTGGCGGCGACGCGCGGAAGCGTGGGAACGGACGCCGTTAAGCCTTCTCAAAACAAAACACGGGCTAACTACGTGCCGGGAGAAGGGGGCACGCGACGCACCTGACTACCGGCACGGCACGGCACGCTGCGCCCCCTCCAACGCGGCTGTTGCGGCCCGCAACCTCAACCACAACCGCGCGCGGTACACGTGCCTGTACTACCCGTCCCCGCGACATGATTACTCACGACGAGCTGCTCGCCCGCACCCAACACATCGCCTGACTGAACGGTTTATTGAATCGTTACCTGGGCCCCCAACACGCCCCCGCATGCCGCCAAATTCCGCTCACAAATACCTTTTCCTTTCCTCCGTTTATTCTTCTGTAGGCTATCACCGCTAGGAATGAACCGATACCGTCATGGTATCTATACTTTTACACATAACTTGTATCGAAAAAAAGTATCGGTATCTACTTAGTATCGCGTCTACTTCTGTCGAAGGCAAATGAGTACAAACTTCTCGATTTATTAATATAATACACTGTAACCAGAGTTGAGCAGAATTTTATTCGAATAATAAAAATAAGAAGTTTTTCGTTAACATCTCGGTAACGAAGCCTCAGTTTATATTGTTGCTAAGGAAAAAGTTGTTCCAATTCACCCCCCGAGTGCCCCATTTCCGGGTCGGAGGACCTTTTTGGGAAACCCTGTATAGTAAAAAGCTGCAGTATCAAAGGGCGTCATCCTGAGCTTTAAGCAGTTAATGTTATGAAATAATTGTTCGCCAAGTATCTACTCGTTCAAGAAAAAATATTACTTTTTTGTAAAAATTGGAATTTCCACGATTGAACGATTAAAAATGACGACGTACTGTTTGTACCTTTTATTCGTTATTGGAAATTCTTTATACAAATAATACATTTGGCCATCTCTGATTTTGACAATGATATATATTTTATTAACGAATATTTATTAACAAAGTAATATAACTAGAGGAGAACCATCTTCAGATTTATTAACTTTCATATTGATTGCTGGCTCCATTCGATATCAGTACTGTTTTTCGATACCGAGTATATATATAGCAACCAAAAGTACCGATACTAAAAATACTTGGTATTGAAACGAAAGTATCGATTATTTACTTGTATTTACTTGGATCGATTCATCCCTAATCACCACTAGGATTTATTCGATACCTCCAAGATATCGATACTTTTACTCATTGCTAGTTTTGTATGAAGGTATCGATATCTAATCACCCCTGGAAATTTCGATCCGACATTTTTTTGTTATAAACAAATTATAGTTTGGACAATTTGATAGTACCATATTATTCTACATAAAAAACCGCAAACCTCGGCCATTAGAAGTTTTCATGTATCTCCTCTCGTTTTCGAGATACATAGTACTTTCGGGTCGAAACTTCGAGGGGTGGTTTCGTATCCCTAAATACGTATTCCTTATTTGTGACTGCTT